CGAGTGGGGAGGGGGGGGGGGGGGAGGGGGGGGGGGAAGGACCACTGCCAGCTGCAATAGTAGACAACTTACTACTTTGCAATATGATTTCAAGCTGTGGACGTAGGCAGCGGGAAGAAGAAAGGGAGGTCTACGGCCTGCGTGTGAAGGGCATAGCATTTGAGGCCAAGATCTCCCATACTTATGTTGCTTCTATGGGTGGCACGAGCTCATCACAACTGGATAATTAGGAGCTTGCCAAGCAGGTCGATGCTTTGAATGAAGAGCTCCATCATATGCGTGAGACTAACAGAAAGTTGAGGACAATAGAACACGCTAGACGGAGAGCATTGCAGAATGTCGGGGAAAGTGACCGATGTGTACTGTTCCTGAGGAGAATGAGGAGAGATTGATTAAGAGTTTTTATATATTTTTCTTCTTCGAGGACATTTTAATTTATAATATGGCTTTAAATATGAACTTATGATATATTCGATTTGTATTTGTTGGATTATGTTATTTTCCGATATTGCTATTCATTTGTAATTTTATTATGTGTTGTGATAATAGAAAAAAATATTGTTATGCTATTGCATTTTGTTGTGTGCAGGTTGTACGAAACTTGAAATTCTTTTAAATCTTTTTCTGTTGTACAAATTTGCGTCAGCTTATTGTTGGATTTTCATCGAAAATTTCAACGCAAAATCTACAATAAATTTTCAATGTGCTTCGATACGGCCTAACGCAAATTCGACACTGATACGACGATAATTTGTGAAATAAATTTTGCGGTGGCACTGGAAGATGCTAAATATTTCGCGTCGAACTTTGTCGATGTAAAGTCACTGTAAATTGCTTTATAGACCCACTTTATCTACGGAAACCAATCCGATGCAAATTCAACAAAAATCGATGCACACACCAAATTATCTTCGGGTTTGACACCGATTTTTGTCGATTTTGTCCAACACAAAATATCAAAATTCCTGTAGTGATACAAAATCTCATTCACAAGGCATAGGACCCAATGTTTCTTCTTCAAGGCAAGAAGCAAGCCCCCCCTAACACACATTGCAAGTTAACCTTGAAATCTTTCAAATAAAATTTTAAATTTTGAAAAGTTAAAAAGAAGAAAATTAAATAAGTTTTTCAGACAACTTCCAGCACATGAGAAATTCTATTTTACTTTCTACTAATAAAAGATAATGCAAGTGGGCATCTTAAAACAAGCATCTAATTCAAGCATTAAAAAGATTCAAATGATTTTTTTTCCAGGAAAAATGTATTGAACTTCTTTTATTACAATTTGTCAAAATATTCCAATGAATTTGCCGGATTGTTAACATAATAAATCAATCTGAATGGAGAATTTAACTAATATGGACGTTCCTAGTAACTTACCAGCACCAATGAAAGCTCCATTAGCAAAAGCGTCATTTCCTTGCCCGCTCAAGTTAACCCCAACATTGAATAGAGTTCCACCCAAAGCTGTGTAAATAGTGGCCATCTGAAGTATAGTGGCTTTCCGAGCAGCTCTTTCAGACTTGTCATATGCATCAAGTAATTTGTCAGCGTATTGAATTTAAACCAGAAAAATAAAAGTAAAACAAAACTTGCAGTAATTTTAAACTTCCACTGGATGCTAAATACATAGTCCATAACAATTTAACAAGGAAGAAAACAATCCTAACTATATATTTAGCACCAATATTCCATGCCAACAAATTAAAATAAAGGGGCAGCTACATGCATAGCACATAATTTTTATGTATTTGCATATCTAACACCTAAAATTTGATATTCATCCATATAGCACATTGGTGTCATAAACCTAATCATGAAAAAGTACTTCACTTCTAAAAAAATAATGATGGCAATATTTTTGATGTGAAGCTAAAGATTTGACTGGTATTCATTTAAACATGAATGTTTAGGTGTGAGATATGTAAATACCTAAGAATTGTGTGGTATGTATATAAATGCCACTAAAATAAATTATTATCTTTTAACTATCTATACATTTAATCATTTCAATCAAACCAGCAACCCTGATGTCAACGTTAAATGTGATGTTCCATTTGCCAAGTACCTCGAGCACTCTGACTCTAAGTTTCAAATCTCCCGACTCGAGTTGCTTCACGAACTCTTCAACCTTCTGGATTCTATATGGCATTGAAATAGTGTAATCCCTAGCCTGTCATTACAAAAGAAGAGAATGTAGTGGAATTCATTATGCATGCATGTTTTTAATGCATTCTCGTAAAATATGTGATGAAAGTTCATATTAACTTCTAAAAGTAATCAAGATATAGGATAAAGTATTTTTCTAAAAAAAATCTTTTGAAAACTCATTAAAAAAGCACAAACAAAGACACATAAAAATAGGAATCAAACAAAAGAAACCAAGAAAATCAAATAAAGATTCTAAAAAAATCTAGATGATCGTCGGGGGAGAGTCAAAGGCCTTTCTTTTCACTAAGATTTAATGAGCCTTAATATGAAGACCGAGTTTATCCAAAAATAAGTTAAAGATTAAATATATGATAAACTACAAAAATAAAGCTAAATCTGAATTTAGTTTTGATGTGGGGCTTAGGCTGAGCCGGGCAGTTCAACAAGTGAAGTGTCGGTCCAACAGGGAGGCTGACTGGTCGGCTTCCTAATGAGCGGGAACTGCCGCCCCTTTCTCCCATTCCTACTGTCATTTTATTATAAATATGTTGCTTCCTGAGTTAGGATTTAGTTTTAGATTTGATTTCATATTTTCTACCTCCAGGCATTTTCCCTTGCTTGAGCTATATCCGAGGACATATGATGCTCTGGTTATATCCTGCTTCGAGGTGCTGACTATCCCCACACCTCCCTCCACATCTCTCTTCTTGAATCCAACCATGCACTCTGGGTTCCTTCCACTCCTTCCAGCCGCCAACCTTCCCCCACATCTCTCCCTGATTCCTTGCCACCGGTCACCCTTCCCCTTATTAGAACCAAGCCGCCAGTCACCTGCTCCCTTTCTGATTCCAACAGCAGGCCACCTCCCCTTTCTCCATGATACCCAGCCACCAAATACCATCCTACCCACCTTACTCCTATTATTTTATTATAAATATGTTGCTTGCTGAGTTAGGATTTAGTTTTAGTTTTGATTTCAGATTTTCTGCCTCCAGTCATTTTCCCTTGCTAGGGTTGTACCTGAGGACAAATGATGCTCTACTTGTATTCTGCTTCGAGGTGGTGACTATATCCCCACAACTCCCTGCACATCTCTCTTCTTGAATCCAACCATCCACCCCGGATTCCTTCTGCTTCCAGCCGCCAACCTTCCCCCACCTCTCTCCCTAATTCCTACCCACCAGTCATCCTTCCCCTTAATAGAACCTAACTGCCAGTAACCTGCACCCTTCCCTGTATCCGACCGTAGGCCACCTCCCCTTTCTCCATGATACCCAACCACCCCAACCTCGCCAACCTCCCACTCAGATATTGATGTTTGATATAGGATCACGTTGGGAGAGGGTTGTTCAGAGGAGAGTACCAGTCTGTATGTTGTCCCCGTCCTAATGGTACCTAGGAAGAATGGTTAGTCGTAGATGTACATTGGTAGTATGACCAACAAAAAGGTTAAGATCAAGTACTAGCTCGCCACACCTCACCTGGACGATCACTTGGATTAGTACCACGAAGCCACCCTTTTTTCAAAGAACAACTTACGCAATGGGTACCATCAGATCTGGATAAGACTAAGAGACGAGTGAAAGACTATTTTAAAGACACGGGATGACTTATACAAGCAGACAGTTGTGCCCTTTAGAATGTTTAATGTTCCCAACAAATTCATGAGGTTGATGAATTAGGTGTTGAGGGCCCACAATGGGAAATTTGTGCGGTAAACTTCGACGACATTTTGGTGTACAACCAATCCTAGGAGCACTTATAACCCATCCAAAGAAGTGCCATTTTATGACAACCCATGTGTGTTTTTTCAGGATATATTGTGTCAAGTGCAGACATTCATATGTACCCTACAAATATCGAGGTAATTGTGAGCTTGACCGCACTGCGATTTCACCCAGCTGACACAGTTTCTAGGACTAGCGTCATTTTATAGGGATTCATCAGGAGCTTCAGAACCATCACCGCTTTCTTGACAAAGCTTTTGAAGAGAAAAATTTAGTAGACAAATGCACCTCAAAATGATTTTGACGCACTGAAGGAGAAAGTAACTCATGCATCAGTCTTGGCCTTACCTGATTTCAATTAGTAATTCAAGGTAAAGTGTGATGCAACTAGCGTGAGGATAGGGATGGTGTTGAGCCAGGGAGGCCGCCCAATAACTTTTTTCAGTGAGAAGTTGAATGAGTCAAGGAGGAAATATTGACTTACGGCTAGAAGTTCTACGATATTGTGAGAGCTATTGAGCACTGTAGTTATTAGCGAATTCACGTGGTTCATGAACGATGAATCCTTGTAATTTTTTAATTGGCTAGAGTAAACTGAAGGGCCGACACACAACTTGGGAGAAGTTTTTGTGGTTATTTTAGTTTGAGCTTAAACACAAGGTGGGGAGTCAGAACCATGTAGTAAATGAATTAAGTTTTCATCACTTGCTAGTCACTGCGATGTAGGCAAGAGTCGTAGGTTTTGAGGCAGTAAAGGAGCGGTACGAGATAGATGAGGATTTCAGGAAAATTTGAGCAATGTTAAGAGAAGCCTACCGTGCAGTACCACAGAGCAGATGATTACTTGTTCTACACGAGTAAGTTGTGCACTTCTAAATGTTCAATGAGAGAATCCATTGCTCAGGAAAGCCACCGTGGAGGACTTGCAGGGTATTTTGGCAGAGACAAGTCTTTTACTCGCGAGAGAACACTTCGTTTGGCCTCGACTAGCGAAAGATGTGAAGCTGCATGCAATGCCAAATTTGTCATTTGATAAACCAGAGGACAGAATGCAGGGCTATATACCTCATTACAAATACTAGAGGCACCGTACCTGGATTTTAGCATGAATTTTGTGGTGGGACTTCCGAGGAGATTGCAAAATAAGGATTTAGCCATAGTTGTGGTGGATCGATTCTCGAATATGGTAAATTTCGTATCCCGTCACCATGACACTATCGTTGACTTGTACTTAAAGGAAATTGTTTGGCTGCACAAAATACAAACGTCCATCACTTCAGAAAAGATGTCAAGTTTCCGAGTAATTTATGGAGGACCCTATGAAGAAAATTAGGCACTAAGCTTCAATTCAGTTACGTGGCTCATCCACAAACGGAGCTAGGGAACAAAAACCTTGAAAATCTGTTGAGATGCTTTGTTGGGAAGAATATTAAGCAGTAAAATTTGATTCTAGCTCGAGGTGAGTTTGCTTAAAAATGATTTGCAAATCAAACCATAGAACACACCCCATTTGAGATTGTACACGGGAACAACCTGCTCACACCACTTGAATTGGTACCACTCCTGCCGACATCAGAGATTAGTGAGGACGATGGTGAATAGATACACGAGATTCATAAGCTCCACGAGAAGGTTAGAAAAGAGATCACTCATCAAAATCACAAATACCAGACACATGCAAACAAGACAAGGATAAAATGTGACCTTTCAAGAAGGAGAGTTAGTGCGGATCCGACTAAAGAAAGAGAGATTCCCAGTAGGAGCATTCATAAAACTCAAACCCAGAGCAGATAGACCTTTCAAAATACTTCAAAAGATGAATGACAACGCCTATCAGATCAACTTGTCAGGGGACTACAATGTTTTCGCTACATTCAATGTCACGAACCTGACACCGTACTACGAGGATCAAGAAGTTTCGATGAATGAAGTCGAAGCTCCGCAACCCCGGGAGACAAACATGCGGCTTAGGCTGAATGAGGCAGTTCAACAAGTGGAGTGCCAGTCCAATATGGAGGTTGGACCGGCTGGCTACCTAATGGGCGTGATTGCTGCCTATTTCCCTTATTTACTTTATTAATTATACATATAATACTTGCTGAGTTAGGATTTATTTTTTGTTTTGATTTTAGATATTCTATCTCCAAGCATTTTCCCTTCCTAGGGCTACATCCAAGGACAAGTGGTGCACCGACTGTATCCTCTTCTGAGGTGGTGACTATCCCCACAACTTTCTCCACATCCCTCTTCCTTAATAAATCTGTCCACCTTGGATTCCTTCCCATCCCTTTGCTTCCAACCGATGACCTTCCCCTTCTCTTTCCCAGAACCCAATCGCAAGTCACCTGCACCCTTCCCAGATTCATGTTGTAGGCCACCTCCCCTTTCTCCCTGATATCCAACTGCCGGATGTCACCTCCCTTTCCTCCTTTCCAGTCGTCGGTCACCAGCCTCCTCCCTACTTCCAGCCGGCCATCACCTAGCCACTTACCTAATGTTCAACCGTCAGCCACCCCGGCCTCACCACTGTTTTTCACGGATATTCCTACAGGGCCCTTGCCAGATATTGATGTTTGTTGTGTTCCTTGGTGTCGTTTGAGTCTTTATTATAACCTTATTTGTCTTGAGAAATAATATTTGTTTCCGCTATTATGCTTTGAGTTAACTCTGATATCAAGTTTAGTTTCAATTTAATACATAATGAAAACTTTGAGTTGAGTCCGAAGAATATGAGACAAGGTCAAGTTTCACTTTCATATGAAGATGGCTTTAGATTTGAAAAATTATGGCTGAAATTAGATTAAATTTGTTAACCAATTTATTTAGTTATCATCTTAGCATTCATTTCATCGAAGGCAATGCCTAGTGCAACACTTAATGTTTGAAGCGTAGTACACGTATTACGACACATGGAACTTTTGACGACACTATTTCAACATTAAATATGACACAAAAGAAGACTCAAATTATATTCATAGTCGATATTGTGACAAGATCATGGCATGCATTGTAGGCTGTAAAGATGTAGAATATGAATAGCCTGAAATAGCTTTTGTCAAATAGTGATTGGCAGACCAAGGGCCTATTTATCTTTTTTATTTTACTTTTGATTTTTTTTTTAATTATTTAGTGCATTTTTTTGTAAGTTTTTATATTATACATGTATTTTTAAAACACTCAAAACATCTAAAAGTTATTTTGAGTGTTTTAAAAAATAACTATACATATTATAGCGTATCAAACATGTTTTCCTTCAATTAAAAGCATATATAAAAGAAAAAAAAAAAAAGGTTCCCAAACAGCCCATTAGCTGCCAAAAATGTTAAAGAGTTTTGATAAGAAGTAATAGCTAGCTCTGACCTGCACCTTGCTAAACATTTATAAGCTGAAATTCTTCCCAATTCCCAAAAATAATACTAAGCCTTAAGTTCAATCATAATGATTTAGCAAAAAACAAAGGAGCATATGAATAATACAATACTACATAACTTCTGCAGTTGGATCATTAAAGCCGGTAAAAAGTTAAAATACGGGGACTTCTGAGCAAACAATTATGAGAAACACTTAAAAAACACTATTACACATCATATGATGTCATCAAAACAAAGATTCATTAAAAGAAAAGTAAATAAGACAACAAAATCTAGGAATATGGTATTAATAAGTGCAAAACAAAATCTACAGATAATGAAACTTAAGATAGTTTTAAAAATTAAAGAAACAATGATTTATTAGTAAGGAAAAACTTTCAATCTAAAGCTGTATAAACTTTATAAAACTAGATAAAAAGCCATTAGGGCATACATCGTTTGCTTGTCTTCTTATCTGATTAACGAGCTCTGCTCCAGTTGGTTGCTTTTGTCTAATGTCCAGTAGTTCCTGAATTTCAAGGACATTGAGAATCAATCATGAGTAACATATTTCAGGTCAAGACATGTTTTATATTGGATTTTTAAGAACCACGCATGTTATGAAATCCATTTGCGTATGCTGGAAAGAATTAATTTGTTTATCGCAGGAAGATATATTTTGAAGGATAATTTTGTGCTTTCGCAATTAATGGAAAAGCTAGAGAAAAAAGAAGGGATTTAGAGATGATTACTTCTTATCTAGAAAAGCATATAATCAAGTAACAAGACAATTGAATTTTATTGAACAACAAAGCGAAATAGAGGTGCCAAAGGGTAGAATGTAAAAAAGCTATGATTAAAATTAAAAGTAGGAGCCCTCGATAGTTTCCAATCATCATAAGTTATCTAATGCCAAGATTCAGCAAGTCACTTTGAGTCTTGGTCATTTGAAATGCTTACAGAAGTTAGTCATGATAAGAAATAATGGTGTATGTTATCAGTAGATGACATAATAATTATTATTAATACCACTCTAAAATAAAGAAGAAACTAAAAAAATGTATAAAGATTTATGTGATCATGTCGCGCCCAACTCACCTGGTTGTCATGCTTGTGCGCACACGTGTTCTGCTCCTCTCCAGTTAATCCGCTCTAGCAGGTATTCCTCTCATCTGAACATGACCCCAACAATCATAAGTTGCGCTTACAATGCCCTTACTGCTTTGCACTGGCCAATCTACACTCATGGGTTGCTCACTTAGAGCTTGCCCCACCCTTGCACAAAGCGGCATGGGGCTACCTCTTTTTAGCATGTCTCACTTAAATAGGGCTTTGGCTATGACCTTTCTTTCTCCTGTGAATCAATCTATTCCCATTCCAGTAACTTTCTCATTTCTTCACTCGAAATCCTTGCTATTCTTGTTCTCTTACCCTTTGGACAACGCTTGAAATCTCTCTCTCCACTTGCTCCGTAATATGGCTCCCCTTCTCCGGCATTGACTTGGTCTAGGGCTATGGCTAATCCCTTTATTAGTTCCCCATCTTCTCCTACTACCTCAATGCCTGCTTGTTTCCTGAAAGTTATACCCCTTCCATTACTTCGAGGCTTTTATCTCTGGTAGCTAAACCACCACCTCCTTAATCTCTTTTGGGGACCGCACGTCCAATTACCCATCTACCATATTCCTTGACAAAGGGGATTTGTGATTTAAAAGTATTTAGTTTGCACTATTCATCTAACCATTTTCACTCTTTGCGCCAAGATATAAAAGTAATAAAAGAAAAAAACAGCCTTCAATATTTTAAGGGGAACTTGCTCTTAACTTCCACATTTTTCAGCAACCTATAATGCAAATGAAAGCATTCTAGTAGTAGAAAAATAAAATAATGGAAAATATCAAATTATATCTACCGGATAAGGGAGGAATAAACAAATGTGAAATCAACCTCTTAACTTGTTTTGTTCCAAAGCGAAGGTCTAAGGGCTGCATACTTGTGGGCAAGAGAAATGCGAGTAAATCCACTTGATCAAACTATCTTAATTGTAGTGATCTTAAAGTGCACCCTCACACATCAGTCTTATTCTTAAAGTGTGAGCTGCTTCACAACTGCCTAGTTACATGCTTGCGTAAAGAAGCACTAATGCTCGGAGGCCATCAGTCTTATTCTTAAAGCACTAATGCAATCAACATTCGGGATGGGCCTCATTTTTCAGCAACCTATAATGCAAATGAAGCATTCTGGTAGTAGAAAAATAAAATAATGGAAAATATCAAATTATATCTACCGGATAAGGGAGGAATAAACAAATGTGAAATCAACCTCTTAATTTGTTTAGTTCCAAAGCGAAGGTCTAAGGGCTGCATACTTGTGGGCAAGAGAAATGCGAGTAAATCTACTTGATCAAACTATCTTAATTGTAGTGATTTTAAAGTGCACCCTCACGTATCAGTCTTATTCTTAAAGTGCGAGCTGCTTCACAACTGCCTAGTTACATGCTTGCGTAAAGAAGCACTAATGCTCGAAGGCCATCAATCTTATTCTTAAAGCACTAATGCAGTCAGCATTCGAGATGGGCCTCAGTCCTACTCCCTTCTCAGCACTAAATCAAAATTAAAGATAAAAAAAAGAAGGAAAACAAATCTAATCCACCTTTGAAATTAAAAAAATAAAAAATAAAAAAATAAAAAAAAACTCAAATTGACAGCTCTAAGCTTAAAAAATACTCTTGTTAATCCCCAGAGGAAACTCAACTTCACTTCACTTCACTTAAATTTGACCTTTGACATTGATATTTTCACATCCTTTTGGGTGATTCTTCTCGATCACTTCAGTCAACGCCAATAGGCACGACATGCTTGTACTGCACACCACACCTATTGGGGGTCCATTTGTTGACGTGCTTGTACTGCACACCGCACCTATTGGGGGTCCATTTGTTGACCTCATTTTTGGTGAGGTCTCTTACTCTTCTTAGAGCCTAGGATCTAGCCTTAGGGTTCCTACCGTCTCTCTTAGAGGACTAGCCTGGGACCTACACCAACTAGAAATTCGAGTCATTTCTTCACTCCTCGTAGTTTCATGCGACTGATTCTAAAATCCTCAACGCTTAGTTATGTCGATTAAAACCAGCCCGACAAAACTCGAGTCGAGTACCCATAGGAGCTAAAGCCTTAGGAAACCCTTCGTGTCGTCTGCGCACACTCACGATTCACGAATACCACAGTGCACACGTCGACACACACAATTGTTGAAATTCACGCCACCCGCACCCGTAGGAGGCTCTACGGTCGATCACGATCGAGAATTTCATAGAAATTTGAATTTAATGCATTTTCGACCCGATTGTAGACAAAGTCGTCCGGACAATTCCGGATGACGAAACGGACTGCGTCGGTGCGTCCGAACGTCAACTTTAGTTAGGAAAGACTCCCACTTCAATAGGGTTTTGTGCACGAGTGAGAGATGCGCAAATCGAGCAAATTTAAACATCATAAATATTATGGAGGGGTTATATTTGTATTATATAGCTGTGAGAGGGGTTTATTTTCTTAAATCCCTAACTCACTCACACCCCGTCCGCCCTTTCTCCCATTCGCGACCAAGCTGAATCCGACTGAACTCACTCTTCTTCCCGGTCGCGAGCCAGCCTAGGCGGAGCCCTAACCTTGCCTTTGACTCCTCGTTCGACATCCTCTGCCTGAGATACCTCTTCCCGAAGCATTGCATGCCTCATCTCGTAGGGCAAGGAGGGCCTTCATGATCCTTCGATCCTCGCTGAGGTAAGTTGACCATGCCCATTTGTTCCCTGGGTCACGAATGGGGAAACTCTCCTCCTTCCCGATGGTTCCTTCCTCTGTGGCCTCGGCTGTGGTGTGTTTTTTTCGGCTGGGGATGTTGCTTCGTCTAGTTGAATCCCGCGAGCCCCTCTTCCTTTTTTTCTTGCGCCTATAAGACCCTACGAGGGTGTCGGTGTGGGGGTTACGAAACTTAAAGTGTGGGGAAACTCTGCCGAAATTTCTTCTCGGCTGAAAGTCTCTGGATTTGGGGTTTTGAAAGTGCTTTCAGGCCAGGTATTTTTCTTCTTCTCTGCTCCCTCCTCTGCTCAACAGAAGTTGTGTTGTTTTCTTCTTTACTCGACAGGGAATACATGCATGTGAGAGTTTAATAGTTTCGGTTGATAAATCATGCTTGAATCGTTGTTGGTTGTTGGACCTTTAGCTGGCTGAAGTCGTTAACACTTTCTGTTGGCTTTAGTTGGTACGCTTCATGCTGTTATAGTGGAGGTTGTAGTGGAGGTTGTAATTTACGTAAGGCATGTTTTAGTCCTATACACGAGCAAGCCTTCTCCTCCTGCTTTTATTATTTCTAAACATGTAAGTTGAAGGCTGCGGTCTTCTCGCTTTTCTCCTTACTAAGCTGATTTAGTATTGAAGGGAAGGTGGGAAGGTACTTTTTTCGAAATGTATGCTGAAGGAAATTTTTATTTTGAGAGCTAATCTTTGTTTTCCTGCTCCCTATTACTCTCCTATTCGAAATACATGTTGGATGGAGAATTAGTCTTTTAAAGCTTTTGAGACTTGTTTTGATGGCTCGGTTTTATTTCCCAGCTGCCCCCCTTTTGTTCGAAATACATGTTGAATGGAAAATTTAGTTTTTAAAGCCCCTGGAACTTGTTTTGGTGGCTCGGTTTTGCCCTTTTTGTTGCCGCTCCTATTCAAATACATGTTGGAATTATTATTATTTTTTTGTTTTGAGCAGCTGTTTTGGTGGCTCGGTCTTACTCCCTTTGTTGTTCCTGTTTGAATACATGTTGAAATCTGTTTTGTGTTTTGAGCAGCTGGTTTTGAAGCTTGATTTTATTTCCTTCTATTCCCCCTGTGGCTGCCTTCTCTGTTAGAATATTTGTGCAGCTGACATTTGCTTTTTTGAGGCTTTTTAGAGCTTGTTTTGGGGGCTTGGTTCTATCCCCTGTTGTTGCCCCTCTATTTGAATCATATGCTGGATGAAATGCTGTCCCTTTTGAGCTTTTCAAAAGGTTTGTTTTAGAGGATTTTGCTTTGTTCTTCGCTGCTCCTCCCTCGTTCAAGACACCTGCAGTTGGTGATGTTCGATTATCAAACTCTTAGAAACCTTGTTTTGGGGGCCTGTGTTTCGCTGTTTCCTGTTACTTACCCTTTTCGAAATATATGTTGAAGGAAATTTTTATTTTGAGAGCTCGTTTTTGTTTCTCTGCTCCCTGTTACTCTCCTATTCGAAATACATGTTGGATGGAAAATTAGTCTTTTAAAGCTTTTGAGACTAGTTTTGATGGCTCGGTTTTATTTCCTAGCTGCCCCCCTTTTTGTTTGAAATACATGTTGGATGGAAAATTTAGTTTTTAAAGCCCATGGAACTTGTTTTGGTGGCTCGATTTTGCCCCTTATAATGCCGCTCCTATTCGAATACATGTTGGAATTATTTTTTAAGCAGCTTTTTGGTGGCTCAGTCTTGCTCCCTTTGCTGTTCTTGTTCGAATACATGTTAGAATCTATTTTGTGTTTTGAGCAGTTGGTTTTGAGGCTTTGTTTTATTTCCTGTTATTCCCCCTGTGGCTGCCTTCTCTGTTCGAATATTTATGCAGCTGACATTTGCTTTTTTGAGGCTTTTTAGAGCTTGTTTTGGGGGTTTGGTTTTATCCCCTCCATGGAACTTGTTTTGGTGGCTCGATTTTGCCCCTTATACTGCCGCTCCTATTCGAATACATGTTAGAATCTATTTTGTGTTTTGAGCAGTTGGTTTTGAGGCTTTGTTTTATTTCCTGTTATTCCCCCTGTGGCTGCCTTCTCTGTTCGAATATTTATGCAGCTGACATTTGCTTTTTTGAGGCTTTTTAGAGCTTGTTTTGGGGGTTTGGTTTTATCCCCTGTTACTGCCCCTCTATTTGAATCATATGTTGGATGAAATGTTGTCCTTTTTGAGCTTTTGAAAAGGTTTGTTTTAGAAGATTTTGCTTTGTTCTTCGCTGCACCTCCCTCGTTCGAGACACCTGCAGTTGGTCATGTTTGATTATCAAACTCTTAGAAGCCTTGTTTTGGGGCCCTGTGTTGCTCCACCTGGCCGTGCGTCTTCCTGTTTGTGGTTCCCTTTGTATTGGGACTAGTGGCTTCCCCCTTTGGCTGCTCCTACCCGTGAGCTTGTGGCTGTTGGTTTGGGTTTGGTGGCTCCTCTTGCTGCTCTTACCCGAGAGTCCTTTGTTTGTGTCTATTGGTTCCTTTGTGCACCTGTTGGTAGTTCCCACGTTTGTGCTGGGTTTGTTAGCTCCCCTGCTGCCCCTGGCCGTGAGCACCTGTTTGGCTTTCCTTTGTGTTGTGTTGGGTTTGTACGTCACTGGATCTGTTGGTTTCATGTGGAATTGAGTGCTTTAACCCTTCTGAATTGAAATATTTTAATTCTTATGTTTGGAGGAATTCGGATGCTCTTTTTCGATGAACGATCTATTGAATGTTGGAAGGTTCCTTGATGTTGCGTTGGACTCATACCTCATGAATGCTTTAATGTTGGTGAAATGGAATGCTTAATCCTTATGCTTGGAAGAATTCGAATGCCCCTTTTCGATGAACGATCTATTAAATGTTGGGGGAAAATTCAGAGCCTAATCCTTTGGGCCAGGTTGATTGCAGTAAAAGAAAAAAAAAGGGGGAGAATTCTTTCGGTATTTGGAGAAAGTTTAGTTGTGGTTTGGAGCCTTTTAAATTGTGTCTTTCTGGGTTGTTCCTGGCTAGCATCGAGAAGTGTGCATATCTCATTGCTCATTCAAGAAGTCCCATCGGGTGGATGTTTTAGGCTAACCCTCCTACCGCTTTAGCTTTTCTTCCCTAAATTGATTTTGAAGGTGGGTTAACCTTCTTTCTTTTTCATTTCTTGCTTTTCGATTCACTTTCCTTGCTTCTTGGTTTGGGTTTTAGGCGTTTATGTCTGATATATAAGTGCGCGCATATATAATTCTTGCTATATATGAAATAATCAATCAATGTCGTAAGTTGGACGATCGTTTTGGGTATTAGGCTTTGATGATAAAAGCATTTGGTGGTAGAGCGGAATAATATTCCATCCTACAATATCGGGACTGAATCTCAGCGCCCTGTGAAATGTAGGACGACGATATTATTCACCGACACTAGACTAGCAGGATACCCTTGCCTTCTTAGGTTGTTGGTGGTCCCGGCCCAACGGTTCGATCGACTTGTGGACAATCATATTTTTATAAAAATAATAAGAACATATGCGATAAGATCAGATACGCTGTTTTTTTAAAGTATTTTGACAACCAAAATTGATAACACTTTTCTTATATGCATGAAACTTGTATGCATGCAAAAATATAAATTTTAAATAATATAATTTGATTGTCCACTTATCAATCGCCGGTATTGGGCTAAAGAGTGCTCTCCTAAGTTGGTATAGTAAGACACCTTTCTAGTTGAATATCGGACTCTATACATACGGGTGACCGATAGTTGTTTTCGGAGACCTTCGAGAATACCTAATTCTGAGCCTAGCCCGATCCGAATGCTTACGGTTCTTTCTTCGGATTTTTGTGTGTTTTCTCACGGTTTTATCGAAATCGGATTTTTATATGTTTTCCTACGGTTTTATTGAAATCTTTGTAAAACAGTTGTGATTTTCTTCGAATTTTCCTCATGTTTTTTTACAGTTTCTTTCGAGTTACTTTGGGTCATTTGCCGTCTTTTCTCGAGTCCTTACAGGAGACGCCGTCCCGTCAGGCGAGCAGGTTTGTTTTACATTTACAGTGTTTACTTTTGCTACTGTACACTTTCCTGCGTATACACATAATTCATGCCTATAATACTACTATTTATTGTTTACTGCGTTCCGTTGCATGTTCCATTTTATAATTCATGTTTTTTCTACGGATTTGTAGAAAACTTTTAGGTTAGAGGGCAGTAGGACACCTGGTTTAGGAGGTACCCCGTAGCGAGCCACTGACCCAACAATTGTACATTTATACACACCACAACCCTAAGCCTATAATCGATCTGTTAAGAGCTTAGAGTAGTCTTCCCAAGAAGCAGAGAGCAGACGGAGGGCAACGATCGAGACCATGACGACGAGGCGTAGGAATTCTCCTTAGAGTTAAGGTCCAATCACAGGATAGTTGAGAAATCATCGGGGTTCTCCCGGATATGTGACATCTCCTACCTTTCACTCCATTGACTCCTGAAAAATAATTATTTATATTTTGAGTCTTTCTCCCTTTGATTTCCTCACGTTTATCCTTGGAAACCTAAACTTTGCAATCTTGAAGAAAGAACCACTGATCTTAATCGAGAGTCTTCTTAAGTAATTTCAGTCATTTAAGATGTAATTAACTATAAGGTCTCGCATCTACAGGGAACTTAAGAACCCGGCTTAAAAAAGACCCTATTTAATATCTCGTATTAAATAGGGGAACTTGCGGTTAACATAAAAGTTCGTAAACTAAAACGAATGTTATAAAATCTTTAGTTTATTCGAATCGCACTAGTAAGTAATATATCTATTCCTCTGGGTAGATGTATCACTTACGGTGTTGCGCTCATTTATTTAAACTATTGCCTGTATGAGATCCGTTCTGTCTCTTATTTTCATGGAGTCTCGTATTCAAAAAAAATAAAATATTACTTTTTTCAAATTATATATATAAATTAAAAAAAAAATAAAATATTACTTTTTTTTAAATTATATATATAAATTAAATTAAACCTCTTTTAAGATCAGGCGTCAGAATATCTATTCCGGCAGCCAACAATTTCTAATTTGGCGACCGATAGAGCATTGACCAAATATATTCCTATTTCAATTGGATTCCATCAGGGATTGGCTTTAAGCCCCCATCTTTTTGTTTTAGTTATGGATAATCTTACTGGACATTTACAGGAGAATGAACCTTGGTGTATGTTTTTTGCTGATGATATCCTTCTCGTGGATAATACTAGAGAGAAAACTCAGAAAAAACTTAAATTATGGAGATCTACATTGGAGCCCAAAGACCTTCGTTTAAGTAGAACTAAAACTGAATATATGAAATCTAATTTTAGTAGTAGTAGCTCTAGTGACAAAGTTGTAACTATGGATGATCAAAATATTAAAAGGAGTGAACACTTTAGATATCTCGGGTCTATTGTTTAAAGTGATGGTGATATAGATGAGGATGCTATTAGTATAATTCAGGTTGGTTAGTTGAAGTGGAGGAATGATTGGTGGTGAGATCTGCAATGCTCTATGGCGCTAAATATTGGCCTTTAATAGAGAAGCATAAAACTAAGTTAAGTGTTGCATAGAGAAGCATAAAACTAAGTTGTGTTGCCGAGATGAGAATGCTAAGGTGGATGAGTGGCTTTACACTTAGAGACAAAATGCGAAATGAATATATCCATGATAGGGTCAGTGGCAGACAAAATTAGAGAGAGTCGTCTTAGATGGTTTGATTACATTAAACGTGGACCGTCTGATGATCCGATTAGGAGAGTAGATGTTTTAGATTCAACTTATGTTAAGAAAGATAGAGGTAGACCTTAAAAAACTTGGGCATATTGTATAAAGAATGATCTTAATTTATTAGAATTAAATGAAAATATGACACTCAATAGGACGCAATGTAGAAAAAAGATTCATGTAGCCGACCCCACTTAGTGGGATAAAGGTTTGTTGGTGTTGTTGTTGTTGTCTAAACATTGCATATGGTTCTCCTATTTAAAAATAAGGGGCCTCATTCTAAATAACACAAATTAAAAAATAAAACTCATTTCTTTCCTTGGTGAAGGGGGAATGAATGGAAGAGGTTAACCCCAAATAATTGGAGTAAACTAACAGTAAAGATGACATTTCAGATCAGCAGAGAAAAAGTAAGCAGCAGATTTACTTTGAAATAAAATTAAACTTGAAATAAGCCACTTGATACTACAAGACTTACTTTGGCATAAGGCGCAGCCACTTTGACAAATGAGAATTCTGGATCAAGTGTATATCCAATACCTGAAAGAAGGTTTTGAAAACAGAAGAAAGGTTCACTTAAATACACAGCATTGAGCTTAATACCAAGGATTCAGTTGTCAGAGGCACATAGATATTGGCATAGGATGAAACAGTTGGCAAAGTCAAACTGTTCTATCAAAGCTATGCTAAGGCTCATAGTATCTTTTACTAGGGAATTCGTGAAAGAGTACTATGGCTTCCATTTTTATTGTAAATACATCGCAGAATAACTTAGTGGTTAGATTTGTATGACAACTTTTAATCTAATCTTTTAGTGACATATCACTCCTTTACAGCCTAAACGAGAAGCAAAATTGTTATCAACTTATTTGAACATTTTATGTGATAAAATAATGTAAAAGTTTAGAAAAGAAATTTTTTCTGTATGGCAGAAAACTAAAAGAAGATCAGCGATGGTTAGCAATGGAAAGCAACAACGAAGCAATGATAAAAATCATTAGCTAGTAAAGGATAATAGAAGACCATATATAAAGCAAACATGGAACAGAAGCTGCAATTGAAAAGTAAAAAAAAAAAAAAAAGATTGAATGAAACTAAAAAAGCAGTATCTTGGTCATAACAGTTAGTTTCTTTGTTCAGAGCTACATTTCGAAAAGAGAGAAGCACAATACTCGAAAATGTAAATGTCACGTCCCAGCACAAGGGAGTGAAATATCTAAGACGGTAAGAGACAGTCGAGCAGTGAAAAATAATTTATATAACTAATACAAATAATTATCCAAACAAAACGAGAGAATCATTAATGATTAAAAAATTAAATTAAACAAATAACCTCCATCTTCTGTATACGTTCTCTTGCATGCTACTCACTTTTACTCAAAAATTTTAATATGAAAATATTAATATAAAATATAGTAAGTTATCAACAGCTAGTGAATACTCTCACCTCTAAACTAAAGTAACATAATAAATAATAATATGAATGCTAGTCATACAAACTATATCCATATAAAATAAATGATAGTTTACTAAGTAATTACGTGCATTCAAGAAAGTACATATCATCTTATTGTAGAATATATATGTATATAAAAGCTTATTATATATATTTTTTATCATTTATAACTGTCATAAAAGCAACATTTAAAATTTATCAATTAAAATATGTCAATATTAATAATATTTTCAAATATATGTGCACCAATATCTTACCATCCTCAGCTAACACCATATGGATGTAAAATCCATCGATCACCATACACGCTGAAACAGTCTTTATAACTCATATCAATCATATTTTCTTATCAATCAGTTCAATAATAACTTATAAAAGGTAAAAGATGGATGCTCTCATCTGCTTTGGCAATTCCGACAATTCTAGGGTTTGCTCAGGATGGCAATCTCGATTTTTGTTCAATTTTGCTGTTGGGTTTTGCGATTGGAGTAGTCCCTACGGTTTACAAGGGCATTTGTGAGCCTTAGGGTTATGATCGTATGATTTTTTGCTGAGTTTTTTTCAGAACTTCAGGCGTTGATGTGGGTTATGGTTTTCTGATGGCGGCACCGTCTTTTGCTGAAGTGCTCAAAGGTTTCAAAGTAAAGCCTAGGTTTTAACTTTCCCTCACCATTTCCCTGAAGATTGAGGAATTGGAGAGGAGACCTTTATAAAAAAAGAAAAACTTGGAAGCAAAAGTGGAAAGCCTGCAATTATTTTTCTAAAGTTGAGAATTTAAAACTACATGAATTTTTCTGATTTGTTTTGGTGAGAAAATTTACGTATGGGCATCCCAAAATGGATGTTATCAGAAGATTTTTTGAAAATATGAAATTAGAATGAGAATGGCAAGTTGGAGCTCTTGATGGGAGACGTATTATTATTAAAGTTGAAAAAGAGGAAAATTATGCTAGAATGTTCCGTAGAAAGCTGTGGTATATTGAGAAAGCCTTATTGAAGATCCTTAAGCGAACTCCGAATTTCGACCCAACTACTGAACCTCCTATTATTCCTATTCAGATTACTTTCCCAGTGTTGAGATTGCATTATTTTAATCATCAGGTTTTATTTTTGCTTGGAGGAATTTTTGGAACACCAATAAAATTAGATATGACTACTTATAATTTTAGAAGACCTTCAACGGCTAGGGTAATTGTGGAAAGAGATATAACACAAACTTTGGCAGAAGAGGTTTAGCACACAAAATAATGGGTACTGACAAAAATTGGAGATGAAAACAAACCAAAACATTGTAACAAATGCAGGATCTTTGGGCATAATGTGGATTTATGCTATGTTGCACATCCTGAATTAAGGTTTCATAAGGAGATTCCTAGGAGAAAAAATGAAAGGGTGAATAAGAAAATTTTACAAGCTAATGAAGTTCGAAAAGAGATGAAAGAAATAAAACATAAATCAAAAGGGGAGGAAGTCCTTGAAGAAAGAAGTGATGCACAAGAAAGTCCAAGATAGAACATAGGTATGGGGGAAGAAAGTGGAGGGGGTGTAGTTCAAAAAGATGAGGTGGTTTTGCTTCAACAGATGCAGGTTGAGAACAAGGAGATAGAAAATGATACTGAATTGTCTCTGAGAAAATTGCAAGGTCAGACTGAGGAGAAAAATTTGCATACGTAAGACGTAAGCAGCGCTGTGTACGTCAGGTAGGTTACAGAGAGGGTATTGCGGGTTATATTCGCGTTATAACCCCTGTAACCTCCCTGTAACCTATCTGTAACTAGTAAGTTTCGCGCTTTTATTTTCATATATTTGTAAGTTATACGTAGGTTACAATGAGTATACCGCGAATATAACACCCAATATCCTTCTTGTAACCTACCTGACATATGCAGCACTGCGTATGCAAATTTTTCTCCAGACTAAGCAGATATTGAATGTTCAAGAAGGGAATGTGTGTAAAATTTCTGAATAGGAGGTAGAAGCAGCAAGGGAGGTAATGGTGAGAGAATGACAAATACATAAAACTAAAAGAATGAAAAGTAAGAAACATTAATAAAGGGGTTATTTGGATTAGAATTTCGTGGTTAATTATGATGGGACACTTCCAGTTAAAATTCTTGTTGTTATTGATGATGCAACTTCCTCTAGGCATACTAGGGGAAGTAGATACATTAATAATGGTTAATTTCATAATTTGAAATGTTAGAATGTCTCTAACAAAATTATGAATCTATGCAAGATTCATAATTTGAGAAGTATTGCATTATTAGAACCTTTGATAAAGGCCAAAATGATTCCTAAAGTGGTTGGTAAATTGGGTAAATATAGTTATATTGTCAATTGCAATTTGAAGATTTGGCAAGTGGGACTAACGATTCCCCTGTGTTGCTTCCGCCTCTTGCGTTTTTAACAGCTAAAACCATGATGTGTTTTCCATCCTTCTTAAAAAAGTAAGTATTCTTGAAGCCGTCGTGATGAGACTTGCGGTCAAACTGCCAAAGCCTTCTCAACAGAAAGTGGCGGGGAACAATAAAAATCTCATCTCACTATGCTTTCCATGCACAACTAATCCACACGTATCTTTTTTTCAACCACATTAGGGAATAGAATTGGGGAAGTTTCTGCATAGTCAATCCCAATTTTTTCACCATTAGTATGGACAACACATTTCCCAACCTCCCGCTACCGATGATCAAGTTGCAAACCTTGCCTTCTATCGTGCACTTGGTGTGAAAGAAATTGCCTCAACCAGAATTGATCTTGCTCCGGTCTGATTGCAATATTCACTGTATGACTAGCAATTCTCCCTTGTCCACCAGGTGCTGAAGTTTTTCCTCTGGACTATCATCTAACTCCTCCTCCACCTCCTAGACTATCATCTGACGACTCCACCTGAAACACCTCCTGTTTGGTACTATACTAGAAGAGCTACCTTTCTCCGGCTACTTTCCATCATGATCTGTCTTGTCATTTCCCTATTATGTCTTGCCAACTCCTCCCGAGATACTTTTATCGGTTGAGGTAGCCGCCGGTGACTGCCTGAATGAAGACTATTGCCTGTTCTATTTCTATTACCTTTCCACCTTTAAGATTAGGTTTGAGCATCCACCAACGTCCAATATGCTGTAGCTGCACCCCATTGCTAATAACAAACTTTAGACCCCCAAGTACCGTGTTATAAAGTGCTCATTTGGCTCGATTAACTCACATTTCCTATGTAACTAGTCAAACTGAGCTGTGAATTCCTCCATTGAAGGGTGTCATTGTTGCAGATGGTGGAGTTTCAAAAGCATGTCCTGACAGCAATGAGGTGGAAGGTATTTCCTCTGCATTGCTTTTTCCACATGTTAATCATATCATTTTCCTTTGTCCCTATAAGTTCTCCCACAAAAAATGAGACACTCTTTTTCAACTTAATGGCTGCTAATTTTACCCGGCTGTCCTCTGACATATCTTTTCGAAGATTCACTCAACAGATTACAGTCAGTCAATAAAATTGTGTAAATCCATACCTCCATCAAACTATGGTAGATCCATTTTGATGCTAAAGTTCCTTAATCCGCCATGTGTGGGCTTCTCTCGGCCTCTTATGATATTAAATTCTAAGAGGTTATGGCCGGTATTCCGCGTCACTGATATCTTCCCTGTTGAACGAGTTCAGATCTTTGTTCTTATCTCCCCTTCGACCTCCATACCACAGTAGAGGGTAATCTCTCCCTGGGCTCTATCATCGATTTCCGCGAGCCTCTATTAAAGCCAACATATCTCCCCCAGTGTCTCATCTCGAGTAGTTTCGACATGTAACTTCTGGGGTGTCATGATTAGGGTTTAAGTTTGAAAGAGGTGGTTGAGGATAGAAAAGAAAAAAAAAATTGGTGTGTGTGTGTGTGTTGGGGGGGGGGGGATGCTAAAGAATTAGAATGAGACTAGGGTAAAGCTAGCACTGATACCAAATGATACAATAATTAACCCAAACAACAATACAAATCAAATATTATTTCTAAAATAATAAAAAGGTCACAAAGAAGACTCCTCAAAATTAAAATAAAACAACACAAAACACATAAACAACCCACCCTCTAGAATGAGAATGACAAATTGAGAAGGGACTGGAGGTAGGTGCCCCAGTGTTGGAGAAGCCTGAAGCAACTACGGCTGGCTAAGAGGAGTTTGGAGGTAGGAGACGACAGTGACAGAGTGAGCAGGAGGGAGTTGCAGCAGCCTGGAGGGTGCTGGAGGCAGGAGGCGGCAATGTTGGAGTGAGCAGGATGGAGTTGCGTCAGCCTGGAAGGTGGGAGGCAAGAGAGGACGGTGCTAGAGTGAGCAGAAGAGGAACAGGAGGCCGCTAGATAGCCTGAAGGATCCTGGAGGCAAAGGCGGTCGTGCTGTAGTGAGCAGGAGGTTGCTAGCGGACTTGGCGGAAGCAGGAGAGGGAGCATTCTCGTCGTCAAATATAGTCCTAGGAAGGGAAAAACACTCAGAGGCAACAATTTGAAATTTGAAAATGATAAAAACTGGATTCTGAGCAAACAAAGAACATACATAAAATGGCTAATAGAAGATAAAATAGGAAGGAGGTAGAAAAAGGGGATCAAATATTAATGAGAGTCGGGGGGTGGGTGGGGTGCGTAAGCACGGGGGGGCGCCCCAAGGCATCGAAAGGGAAGGTTGGTCTAGCCTCCTTCTAGACCAAGACTCTTTCTATTGAACCACTTGCCGGACCAGCCAGACCCCCAAGCCCCGCTTTATATTGGTTTGAATTGATATAAACAAGAATGAATAAGAGAAATTAAGAGAAATATAGATTATATAGGTGTTATATAGGTTAAATAATTAAATGATTATAAGGCATATTATTTTGCTAAAGTTAACCACAAATATTTTAACCTACTGGATGAATTTATCGCTATAAAAAACAAATAATTATCACATAAAAACACATATGTAGTAACAAAAAAAGGGAAAAATAATAAAAGCTAATCAAATGCTATCTCTTATGTTAGGTTTATTAAGAAAATAACATGAGTAGAGAAATGACATCTGACTGTTTTGAGCAGGTGGATAACCATGTTTTCATTTTAAAATAATTTCTTTTATATTTCAAAATAAATACAAAACATTTTGTAAATAGACTTTTACATACAAATAAACAAGTTTTGCTTTTATTTATTATTTTCTTTTAAAATGCAAATTACATACTTTTCTCATGTTTAATTGTTTAGGAAAAATGTGGAATAAAAGAAGGCAATAATATCTAATATATGTATATTTCAATGTAAACTCATCTCATTATGGTATTGGCTGGGGAAGCAACGTACCCATTCACAAAAAAAAAAAAAATGAAATGAAAATAGTTGCCTACTTTTTTAGTAGGTTATGGAAAAAGTTATAAAAAATGTATTTTTAATGCCATATAAACAATTACTACCTTTGACGACTGTTTTATATGAAATAAATAAAAATAGCATTAAAATCGATTTATTCATTATCCTTTTTTACTATTTTGTCTTTATCTTTTCATAAAACCTCAAAATAAACTATTGTATTTTATATATATGTCTTGAACTGTGAATTATTATAATTTAAAAATATTTTACCCACCGAGTTGGTTAACCCATACTTTGGTTACTAAATCTTTTCAAAGAAAACTTCTTTAGAGTATATGGATAATAGAGATTCTGTTTACAAATATCAAGGAGCCCAAGAAAATAAGTAATTCAATTTTTACTTTTACACAATTGTAAGATTTAAATTTGAATGAATTTTGGTTAATAAAAGTTTTGAGTATAGAACAACTCTTTTATTTTTGGGACGATTGTTATACATTTAAAAAAAAAATTATATAAGTAAGAAAATGTTTGGATAAGAATTTCTCCGTCCATCCCTCCCCACAATGATTTTCCAAGCTCCCGAGATAGGTTGTGACAACCAAGGACAATAAAACTAGGAGATTTTAATCGAGTGTACTATCATTCCTCCTGCCATCCGTTTTAAAGCTAAAACTAGTAAATTGTTTCATCTAAAACCAAAATTATTGCTAATATAAGCTAAACACTTAGCACCTAGCACTTGGCCTTGATAAAAAAACTTTGTTATCATTAGAAGGGGGCAATAATCTTAGGGGCTTCAGCCCATGAAAAATTTGAATCAAATCAGAACGAGTGAAATTTTATAGTAGCGTCTCATCTAAATCTAATCTATCTACTCAAAATTTTACTCATAACCACATAGAACAATCTTAAGAGAGCCAAGTGAATTTTTGAAGCCCACAAAAATGCTTCAAAAAAACCTACAAAAAAATTGTACGCAACAAAGAAATAGCTAAAACCATGATACTTTTACCTTCAAGAGTTGAAAATGCTCTTAAGACAAAAGTAAATGTTGCAGGGAACCGGAAAGGTTGGTCTGTTGCTATTGCAAACAAATCCTGAAAAACATCATACAAAAAAATTATGACATATCCGAAATAAAAAAGGAATGCATTTGAATTTTGATTGAGCCAACCTCACCAATTGCAGCCAAAGTTTGTTGCTGATCAGGTGACTGGCTTAACAGATTATCCAAGAAAAACTGTATGGACCGCCTCACCTACAAGTAAAGAAACTTAATGCATGCCAATCCAAAAACTACAACATAAAAAATATTATATCTGCTCCGCTAAGATTATCAGTTTTTAAAAAGCATAAATATGAATAAAAAAATTAATATGCTTCACTAACCGATGACATGTCTCCTGTTGGCTTAAGCGCCTCAATCTCAATAAGGTTTCTCATAACCTATATAAAAAAAAATTAAACAATAGTTGTCTGAGCATACAAAAACTGCAAGAAATAAGGCATATTCAAATAAATAATAGAACTTCTCACTGATGTAAAAGACAAATAACACATGAAATGAGTGGAAACATTTACATACTGATACCATTCAGAGCAAAAATCGACACGATTCTTCACAGAAATTAGGGCAAAATAGATTTCTTGTTTAATAATTCAAAAAACTCCATAAGAATACAAAACATAAGCACCTACGATTCGAGAAAGAATACAAAACATAAGCACCTACGATTCGAGAGGTAGGAAAACTCTCACAAAACTTAAACCTAAACCTCATACATAAAACTGACCCTAAAGATAATAAGCCTAGCTAAACCCAACAATAATAACAATAAAAGATTAAATTGCTCTTAGACATACAAAAGATGAACTTGCCCTTAGACTAGGCATACATGTAACAATACTCCCTGCCCAAAAGACAACTTGACCTCAAGGTAGTAAGGAATTAGATTGTTGCTTGATCAAGTCAAGCGGCTTCCACCTGGCATCATTATCTGGCCATCTTTTGCATTTAGGGGTTGGTTGGCGCAGCTTTTAAGCTACGGTGCATTTTCCCACCATTGTTTTACCCTATTTGAAAATCTTGTTTGGAATGCTTTATGCTTTTCCCAACCGCTATTTTAATGAACGCGCGGTCGCGGGTGTTCAACCCTGCAGCTAGCGTCCCCCGCGTTCAGCCTCTCTCGCGTCCCTTTTCTCCTTTCTTTTATGCGATTCCGACGCTAGTTTTGGGTAGATCTCTCCTCTCTTCTTTACCGTTGTGGTTGTTTATAGTGTTTCTCGGTGGTTACTGGGTTTGTTACGGCAAATTGGCCTTTCTTCTCCTTCCCCCCTCTCTTCTTTACCGTTGTGGCCTCTTTGCGGCTAGGGTTGGCATTTGTTTAGTGGTGGTTCCTTGTTTTGGCTTTGTGGTAGTTGTTGCGGTAAGTTCACCTTTTTTTCCCTCCACTCACTCTTCTTTGTCGCTGTGGCTAGGGTTGGCATTTGGGATCTGTGGTGGTTTCAGCTCTACACCGCGTGGCTTTGGTGGCTAGGGCTAGTTCTTGATGACCCTGCCATCTTCTCCTCTCCCCTCTCCTCTCTCCCCTCTATTCTTTGGTTCTGTTTGGATACCTTGCAGTTCGTCGCCCCAAGGTGTTCTTTACATATGAGTTTTATTTGCGTTGCGATTCTTTTTCAACTATTGCTGGCATGGGCAAATTATGGTGTTGTGATGTTGATTTTGTGGTTTTTTCCTATGTTGCGATGTCAATCGATTGGGCGATGGTTGTGCTAGATCTCATGGACTGCATTAAGTTGGCATTATCCCCTTCAATGATTAAGCCTTTACATTCAAACATCCATGGTTCAAAGATATAGTTAAAGAAGCATATGGCTTGTAGCTCAACTTGAGCACAATCCCAATATTACATAGCTTGGCCGGCCGCAAGAAGCCCCATAGCTTGCACATTTCGGATGACTGCACCTGTGGCCGCAATACCAGAGGGTAGGAATGTTCCATCAAAATTAACTTTAATCCACCTGAGAGGGGGAGGATGCCAGAAGGCAGAAAAGAACCATCTAGGAAATCGATGTTTAATGGACTTTTTCTATTTGAAGCCAATTACACGATCATGTGTGGTATGATGTGGTGCCCATGGATGCTTACAACCTGATATTATGGAGACAGTGGAAATTTGATGGTAGGACTCGACACGATATATTCAGAAACACCTAATCCTTCAAAAATGATGGGAATCACATCGTCCTACCTCATGCGGAGCTGAGATCACAAATGCCCTGGCCAGCAAAGCAGCATCGGTGGAACCAATTTTGGCCACAACGGAAGATGATAGAACTGAGATACTAATTTCAGACATTGGGACGGTCACAACATAGAGTATTTCAGGACATCACAATTGATACCTTATCACCAAGGCCCCCACCATTCAGGGAGGTTCAGGTTACCTTTACTTCAGATCAGGTTGAGCCAACCATGGCTTACTTTGGGAGGATTGAGCTGTATATGTGTGACATGAAGGCCCAAGTTAGATAACTAGGGAGCTTCCAATACGTTGGAACTATATAGATGTATGCTCGCAAGTGGAGAAAACCCCTCCGGTGATTTGGAAGACAGTGTAGTTGCCAATGAGATCCACGTGGTTCATGGATGGTAGTCCCAGACCCTCAACCCCGAGAGATTACAACTGTTCCACTCAAAGCTTTTGTCTGCTTATTGAAAGTAGTGGAACCATTGCAAGCTCTTGGTGTTTTGGGAGACAGTGCGGTTGTCAATGGGATCCAGGTGCTTCTCGGATGGTAGTCGCAGACCCACAACCCCGGGTCATTATAACAGTTCCACTACACTCAACAAGCAGACAAAAACTTCGACGATTGAAGTCGAAGCTCCCCCAATCTTGGAAGATAAACATGGGGGCTGGAGAGCTGAATTGATTTAGCAAGAACTTAAGGTGGTTGGCCGAACCCTACTTGGGCTAGAGCTACCGTCTAAAGGGAGAAATTTTCTCCTTGTATTTATCCTCTATTATAATAACGTCATTTTGTGTTTTAAGGTTAGTTTTTTCTGATTTCATATGTCTCGCCATAGGTGTTTCTCCCTAGCTAAGGTTGCATCTGAGTACAGGTGGTCCTACGGCTCTATCCTGCTCAGAGGTGGTACTACGGTTGTATCCTGCTAAGAGGTTGTGATTATATCCCCCTATTCCCTACATTTACACCCTACTCACTAAACTCCCGTCGACACACCTTCCCAGTGTCTTTCTCCACCGTCAGCCCTATCTCTCGCTTGTTACTGCCGCAAGTGTTGTCAGCCCTTCCTATCGATGCAGCCCTCTCTACCAGCTTCTCCAACCGGGTCGCCGACCCCTCCGTCTTTTCCTGTTGCTGATCCAACACCTCCTGCCCTTGCCGCCAATCGCTCCATCATAACATGTTGTTGCCGCAATATCTCCCAGCACCTACTGTTGCTACCTTGATCCCCCTCCAGCCTTCCCCACCGGTATCACACCTCCAGCTAGCCACCCCACATCCTGTCCAACAGGCGTTCACCACCTTCCTCCTTGCGCTAGGGTTTGTTTGTGCTTTGAGCTGTTTTATTCTTATTTTAAGAACTTTTGTGGGAATCCTTCTGAATTTTCAGCAATAATATTTGTGTTTTGTTGTCTTTCAGGTTAACTCTGGTATTAGGGTGTCATCAAATGAAATCTATGACGCACTGACAATTTACAACAAACAATCATGTAATATCTGACAGGCGTCGCACATGAACATGTGTCCGAGATGTGTCCAACACCTATCACCTATCGTACATGCCTAACATGTGTCTAATTTAAAAACTAAAAAAAAGTTGAACATGCTTACAACAACAATAAGAAGCCTTTATCCTACTAAGTGAGGTTGGTAAATTTAGATTTTGATGATTTGAATTTGAGCACAATTATCCTTAAATTTTAAATTAAGTAATGTACACCATAAAAAAATATAAAAAAATTAAATTTTGATGATTTATGTTGTACCAAATAAATTCTAATTATTTATATTATGTAATATTCTAAAATATTATTGAATATCATAATTTTTTTCCCTAAATTTTGACAACTTATTATTTTTTATTAGACTTAATATTTTTCATAATTTTTTTTCACTCTTTTGATATATGAATAATATGATAGTCATTTATATTTTTTTTCATTCTTAAATATCGTTATTGTTTCATCATTATGTTGCTAAGATTTTTTTATTGAATACATGTGTGTGTGTGTGTGTGTGATATTAAAGGCTCTATGTCCAATATTTTCAAAAATAGGCTTTCACTAGTTCATGTTGTATCATGTCCATATCGGTGCATCTAGAAAGTGGTATAAAACATTGCAAATCCTTGCAATCCCTGGGAACAAATCTTGAAATCCACAACAACTAGAAAATTGAGCAAATAAATTTGCACTTCTTATTCAATTTATTCATAGATAAAACTTTGCACTTGAGTGTTAGAATATGAAGAAATAATGAAATAAGTCATGCAAATGCAACTTTAATAAAAAAAAAAAAATGAAAGAGAACCATCAACCACTCGGATCTTTACATTATTGCAGCTAAGTGTAATAACGCACAACCATGGCAACTTCCAATCATACAATTAGATCCTTCAAAAATCTACAATTCAAGGCCCACCTCTACAATGTCGTCTGAAGCCCGTTGCTCCTTTCCTTCAGTGCAACTAGTCTTTAGGTGTGCTTTTAATAACAAAATAAACTTGATTAACTATTATTGATTTCTAACCTCTATTACTATTACTTCTGTTCATATGAAATTTTGTCTAATTTATATTTTCATAGAAACATTCAAATGACCTATATTCCTATGAGATTTCCGATTAAGTGATTTTAAAAACATTTTTTTGACTTTAGATAAGGTTATGTCATTTGTTAATATTAATACATATAATGATACTAATCAAATAAATTTCATGTTAAAGCTTCTTAAATTTTTTTTTGGGTATACTTGAATTAATAGTAACTTAAATACCTTTTAAATTTAGGGTTCTTTATTTCATTTTAACATTAATTAATTAGGAAAAATAATAATTAATTATTGAAATCGAGTTTCATAAATGAATTTTTCCCTCTCTTTTTTTTGCCTAACTTCCTCGTCGAAACCCTTGATTTTAGAAATCAAACATTAGGATTTGCATAAATTAATTGAATTAATTCAAGATAAAATTTCATAAATTAACTTTCATCTTACTTACCTAAGCTTGAAATTCTTCCCAAACCTCACCATCTTCCCAATTTCAGCGAACGAAGCATATACGAGCTCACTTGAGCTCCCCCCCACATGCCCAAAGCTCATGTGTGCAGCTCCATGTGCTAGGAGCTGAAGGAGCTCCTTTGAGCTTCTCTCAAGAGCAGGAAATGACCCCCTAATGGAGAGGATCTGCTTGCAGCTTCGGTTGAGTTGCTCATCTCCTCCTTCTGTCGCTTGGTTAGAGCTTGATTCTATTGATTAGAGCTTACGATAGCTTCTTGCATGCAAGAAATGCCATTGAGAGCTCATGCTCTAATTTCTCCCTCGCGACGATCAACAAAGCTGCTCGGATGGAGGAATCTGTCTCCTACTTTTTACGCTTGCTGCTCGCAAAAAATGATCAAGCCGTTGGTTTTCTCCTACCTCTTCTCCTTTTGCTCCTGCTTCTTCTTCTTCTTCTTCTTCTTTCGCTTCTGCTTCTTCCTCCTCATTTTGTTGTTGTTCTTCTATTTCTTCTTCTTCCTCCACCTCTTCCTTCAGACACGCAAGTTTTGACTCCTTGCCTTGGCTTAGTACGCTTTCTCTTGATTTCTCTCTCTCCCTCCCACTGTCTCTCACTCTCTATCTCTCTCGTGTGTGATCGGTTTGAATGATATGAAAACGAAAGATAAGCACTCGCATGCATTCCTGGGGGCAGTGGGAGACTTTTTTGAAAGACACTCCCATCCCACCTATCGTAAATAGGTAAATTATTATTATTATTATTATTTGAAAAGGTATTATTACACACAAATTGCAAATTGGAGAAAACCAATACAATAAATTAACCCCAAACCCCAAACCCCAAAAGAAAAATAGACAACCACAATGGCATCGGGCATCTCAGCCAAGCCACTAACTACCTTAAAATGAACACTTCTTTATATTGGGCACTGACCGTCAAAACTCATAAAACCACATTTAAAATTTGCATTTACACTTCTATGTCACTTAAAAGTTTCATCTCCAGCTAGAAAGTGAAAAAAAAGACAAATATGATTAATTTCATCTATAATTTGTAAAAAAAAAACATAAATAATATTCAGGAGTCACGAAATGGTTAGATAGCAAGTAAAAAAACAAATAACAGAAAACTTCATACAAGGACCAAATTCTGTACGACTATTCAGAAAACCATACTAAAAGACAATCTAAATTGGCATTTTATCCACCAAAAAAGTAAAAGTATCTTATTTTCATATGAAAAAAATATATATATGTAATTATATGAGAATAAGTTTAAGGGGGAAAAAAGTAAAATACCTTGTTTGCATCCTTTTCATATACTGAGTAAAACAAGTCGAGCAACCTCTCTCGAGTGAAGGATTTTATTTCACCCATCATTCCAAAATCATAATAGATAAGTGATCCATCCTTGTCAATAGCAAGGTTGCCAGGATGAGGATCAGCATGAAAAAATCCAGTCTTCAGTAACTGCAGTAACAACAAAGGCAACACCTCAATTACAAATATGAAAACCAAAAACTCAGGAAAAAAAAAACACAACTACAACGCTTAAAGCCTCATTAGAATATTCATATGAAAGATTTAATGATGGTTCCAAGAATGTTTTTTAAAAAAATTGAACGCTCACCATAAGATTGGAAAGTAAAAAATGTAATTTCAAGGGCATGTTTAGGATCAATTCCATTTTTTTATATTTATTTATTTACTTAATTTAGTTTCAAAAATATGTTAATTTAATGTGGTTTATACATGTATTTATAATCTATTTGTAATAACAAACTAACAAATTTTTGAAACGCTCAAATAACTTTTGGGTGCTTTGAGTGTTTTAAAAAATAATCATAACTTAATTAAAAATATCAAACATGTTTTGTTCAAAAACAACACATAAGCAAAACAAAATAAATACAAACAAAAAAGAAAATAAAAAATAAAAGTGATGTCAAACGGCCCCCAAATTAAAAGGGAGTTTTACCTGAATCAAATAAGCCTCTATAGCGCGTGAAGCAATCAGTGAACGGTTAATTCCACTAACATCAATCTGGCTTAGGTTATTTATCTTTATTCCTGTTCAATACAAAGGTCATAATAAAAGATTATAATCAAAGAGATATTTCAACTTAAAGAGATACTTGAAATATTTCAACTTATTTCAAATAAAGGCAACACTTCAACTTAAATTTATAATCACCAATAGCACATCATTTTACAGTGTAGCCACATAATAAAAAAACTTAAAAAGAGAAGAAAACCTGGAACATATTCCAGCGTCAACACCTTCATAGAAGTATAATCCCAAAGCACAATCTACAAAGAATAATGTAATTAATTCTTTTCAGAATGTTAATGGATTGGTTTTCAAAACGGCAATCAATATATGGTTATATACTAGGTATTAAGTTGAGCTTAAAGTAACAAACAGAAAAGTGTATAGTTCCAGTGAACGAAACGTACAGGTACGCGAACCCACTTTACATTTCGAAAATCTCGACGAAACTTATCAGCATTCCTTCCTTCATTTACATAGTCGATTTCTTGAAATAGAATTCTGAAATTGTTGTAATAAGAATCAATTAGGATAATACATATTTATTATCGTAAAACATTTATGTATTTCCTTACCAAATATTAGACATGCATCCCGGAACAAAATCTAATAAATAGCAGTAAGAAAACAAGGAACAGCTTTTTTATGCCCAAAAATAATTTTAGACAAATCTATGAATGTTGGAAAGCACATAAATAAATAAGGGTACAATGCACACCGCCACTAAGCAATGGCAATATCAATGAGGTCAGCGTTGTGTTGTGATAATCATCGAAGAAGTAGAAGCTGCCTTGCTATTTTCCTTAATTTTTTCCCTCATCTCATCGCCACCTTTTTCATTCACCTATAGAAATAGAAACACTGTTGCTCATGCGGTCTCAAAATGCCTCACCCACATCCAGTAATTGTTCTTGCAGCCACAAATTTCATGTGTCAAGCATGATGCTGGTAAAACTCCTCTCTCCTGTTATTTCGTTTTTTTTCCCACATGTCTGCTCACATCAGGCCTTTAGAAACATTGGATCTCCAGCAAAACAACAAATAAACACCTCTCCCTTCCTTTAATTTCTTTCCCAATTATTTAACTTAATTCATACATTACAAGGCCATGATTAGAGTTAGATGTGAAATGACTGAGGACTATGGATATAAAGGGGATAGTAGAGAAATTGAAACCAACTTTCAAGCATTTAGATTAATATAATCGAGTTAAATTTTGAATTATTAAGGCATGATTAACGGCACTTTTAATTTGGAACTATTTTGCTGACCTTTATCCTTGTTCCGTCACAAAATAACACTAAATTACGTCAAAGATGGGTAATGGACGTAGTGTCGCATAAACCGAGTTAGAGACATTTTGATCACAATCAAAATCAGTTAAATGCTGCCCTTAAGCAAAATGGACTGTGTCATCATGTCGAGAATTTAAAAAATGAATAGGAAAACAACCATGAGGCCTGGATCACTACATAGTGAAATCAACAAATAGCAAATATGGCATCGCACAAATTTGGAACTAAATATGTCAATTAGAAGCAAAATTGTTGTAACATTGGTCATTTTGCAAAATAATTTTTGTCGACATATCTATAATGCTAAAAAACATCCCGCATCATCAAATAGCAATTTCACAAAAAAACAATGGGCAAAAAACGCAACATTTCACAAGGACACATTACCAAAGCTCTTTTTGTAAAATAGACTGCATTGGTGCGCCTGAAACATTGAAATTACTTACGGAAAACATCTTTATTGCCCTATTTATTACACAAAAGTAAAACACAGTTTACCCGAGTACAAGGATACGGCATGCATTTTAAGCAGCATGAAAAAAATGAGAAATTGTACAAGAGGTTGATATGATGTTTGAATCTAATTAAATTCAATTTAAAAAAAAAAGATCAAATCAAAACTACTGTTAAAATACTCGTATGCTAACCAATACTATAGAATCTAGTTGTTGTTTTTTTCGTACATGTCATGTTGCACCTATCTAGTTCCATCTCCATCACATATCACCCAAGAAATCCAAAATAAAAAAAATAAAATAAAAGAAACTATACTCATCTCTCTCTCTCTCTTTCTCTCTCTCTCTGTCACTCAACCTCACCGCACCCATCAAACACCTCATTAAAATAAAAGAAATTATACTCATCTCTCTCTCTCTCTCTTTCTCTCTCTCTCTCCGTCACTCAACCTCACCGCACCCATCAAACACCTCATCTCCCTCACAAAAAATCTGGGTCCTCAACCTGCTCACCTACAAACTCCTCTCCACTTACATTATTGAGCATGTAAAAAAAGCTGCTTCCCTCAATCCTCGATGCCAGCAACTTCCCAACTTAGCATACTGACATCAAATCTTCCACTCTGATCATCAAACTAATTGATGCAACACTCCCAGTTTCTCTACTAATCCACATTTGTCATTCCACCAATCGAGCATCACAAACAAACCACACAAGTTTTGAGCTCTATTGTTTCCTCTACAACAAGCAGCCACCAGCCCTCCTCCTTAAACTTCAACCTAACACTCTTCCGCGACACTACATTTACCCAACAGCTAAACAACACCTCCAAAGTACACCATCATCGGTCTTCATCTCTATCTCTCATCTCTACACTCTTTATCCCTCTCATTACAAATTAAGAGAAAATTATCTAACATTCCCCATCTCTATATCTCTACCTATCTCTAGCGCCCTTTTCTCACTTTCTCTAAAAGGGATAACAATGTGAGAAAATGAAGAAAAATGTAAACAGAGAGAAAAAAGAAAATTAAATAGAAAAATATATTGCATATTCAATTCTTATAGTGAACCTCACAATCTCGCATCTTCATCATCGTCAAATATGCACCTGAACGTGAACGAACGCCCTCTCTCAATAAGCTCTCAATATCTTGTTTGTGACATATAGTGCGATGAGCAAAACCTATACACATTTTTCTAAGCATGGTTGGGAAAACTCATAAGCGAAGCTCACAACTCAGTAACATAGCCATATACACAATTCTCTTAACGTGACTAGGAGACTAGAATTTAAGTACTCGTGCTCATTGTTCTAACTTGAGGCAAATCCTTTTGCGGTTCCACTCGACATCAAAATCACATGGTTAGAAAACACGAGCCATATCCTTACTAGCATTAAATCTTTGATGAGTGACATACAAACAAACTATTATGATTGGCTCTTTGTGAGCTTAGATTAAGTTCAAATCTTAAACCCTCCTCAAAGCATTGCAAAGTGTGATCAAAATGTTACTTTTAAGCATTTTGGGGGAAGGGGGGGACTTGAATATTTTAATTTTTGTATGTTTCTTAAATTTTCTTAATTATTATTGATATTTAAGCCAGAAAAGATTTATTGTGGGACTTGATGGCATTTTAATAGTAGGTTTCACTCCAATTGAAATTTTTTATCAATACAGTCATCATCAAAGTTTTGAATAATTTCACTTCATTTAAACCTTATCAGCTTTGCACGCTCCCTTGCAAGGAATCAATTCCGCAGACTTTGTCAACTCTATGATTATATGTTAAGGATCGAGTCCATGCTTTAAATTTATTATTGCATTTATAAGTGTAAGGATAACAAGAGAATTCATTATGGAGCAAAGTTTCTATTTAAAAAGCCTTGAAGTCCATATATAAATGAAAGTTTATATGTTTCTTACAAATTTTATGGTTGAACATCAAATTCCTAGGTTTCCAATTATAAGCTAATTGGATTAGACCATAAAAGGAGAATTTAAAATCATTCTCTAGTACAAATCTTGTTGACTCTAACAAATATAATGTAGAGGATCGGCCTTGTGAGTAGAACTAATGGCCTTTCCCTGTTTGCAAAGTGACTTATCATGCAAGGCATTCTGCCTGAGAACATTGCGAAACATACTAATGATTTTAATCTTGATATAAATGCCAGTTACATGGTTCTAAAAAGAAGAGAACTCAACTTATTTTTAATCTATGACACACTATCAAATATTACGTTTAAACATTAAGCAAATTTGCCGAAGCATACAACAACAACAACAAGTCTTTGTTCCACTAATGGGGTTGGCTACATGAATCCTTTTTCTCCATTATCCAATTGACTGCCATATTTTTATTTAAATTTGTCGAGGATTATGCAAATAAAATTTCTTTCGATGATACGATGTGTCATGCATGTCTTCATAAAAGCTTCATGATCCTTGATGCTGATGCACAATTTGCGGGTTATTTTAATCTTATTTAGAATGGTTCTCAATCACGTGAACGCATAGCACTTTGAGAAGCATGGTGTTTCCCTGTGGTAGTTGTTCAGGTGAATTTATCATCCCTATTATGCACATGTGACTTTGCAATTTGATTACAATCTTATTCTATACACTTACATGTGTTTGTTAATGAATTTCATTGTGATTATAAAGGTTTTAGTTTTTGTTGAATATTCGCAGCATTGCAAGTGGTACTGTCGGTCAACTTTTTTCGATTGATTATTTGAAAATATGAATATGAAAATAAGTTTTGAGATTTAATTTAAATATAAAAGATATATAGTTTGGGTTTTGAAA